ACTCTTCGGCAATATCAATTAGACTGCTCTGCTATGTGGTGATATGTTTTATGTCAGGATTGTCACAGATTGTCCTTGAGGGTTCTCAGCAGGCTGCCGCTTAACTGCGAGGTGACCCGGCTTTGTTTACCTGTGCGGACCGGGACTCGTCTATCCGTTTTGAGTGACACACATATTCCTGCCGCTTGGCAAACAACAAATATGCAGGCTGTCTCGTGCTTTTATTGGCAATGAGATTTATATCAACATAATTGATCTGCCCGTTCTTCAGCAGAAAAAAAGCACATTAATATGGCTCGACCGCTGAGCGATACACCCACCAGCCCCTAGAGCCATGAGCTGTCACACGTCAAACTGCCAGGACTTCTTCCCAAATTGGAGGCTGCACGCAGGGTCAGGGTGACCGTGGCAACCCTCCTGTCAATCACAGCCCAGGAAGAGAAAACAGCAAAAGTGCTCTGAGCGCTTTTTAGCCTCAGCACAAGGTGCCGGAGACATAGCATGTCAAGAGCATTTGAAAAAAACGTCATTCGTGTTTTGTTATGGGGGATGTGAAGACATAATGAGAAACAAAAAGCTACTTTTTACAGCTATTTTGCATGTTAGGTATGCAATTGAGTCACTTTCCATTATTATTCCCCTCTGCCGCATTTGCACAATACTCATAAATATATAGATATACATTAATATACATCTCAAAGTCATTTCCATTCATGTTTCAGAGTCGTGCCTAACGCAGTTGTTCTGATGCGTGCTGTGGTTTTGCAAGATCTGGCCTTTTCTCCATCTTCCAATCATTTCCAGTCTTCTCTATGTTGCTAATAAAGATGGTTAAAACAATAAAAGAATAGGATAATAAAAACAGCACTTCTGTGGAATACAAAACAAGATACAGTTTCAACTGAAATTTAGTGGGGTCCAAAAAAACATTGGACCCCATTGACCCTTGATAAAAAGTACTGTACACTTTAGCATACTTTAACTCCATCCAGTGTTTTTTTGTTTGTTTGTTTGTTTGTTTTTTTAAGTTGCCAGCCACCACTATAGCATATTTGATCATTTTCACAAAAGTGTCATGGCCCCCAGAATACTTTTTTTGTGATCTCAACATGCAAAATGTCAAAAGAAAGAACAGAGCCTCTGCTTTAAAAAAACAGAAAAAAAAAGGGTAAGTTTCATAAGACAGCAACATTTTGAGCAAAAAGCTTTTTGTCAAAGATCCAGATGGGATTCAGAACGATGATCATAGATCATCACCAAACATAGATGGAGTAGATCGAGTCCATCAGCAACCCTAAAGCTTCACAGTCCTGTAACTCACCCTGGGTCGACATTTCATTCAGTAACAGATAGTTTGGATTTATATGCTGTTTAATGTTGGTGATTGTGTTATTTTGCTTACAAATGCTATCGCTCATTTCTGCTTCTTTTTCGCCTGTGTTTTGATCAGGAGATACTGTACTCTTTCAAAAGAATCGTCATACTTTAAGTAGTCGACAATGCTTACGGACTCCCACTGGCTGAATAAAATCCCACTCTGTGGTTCAGGTTGTAGCACGTGACACTTCAGTCACTTCCTGTGTGACTCACTGCATTCTGGGCCAAAAGCTTTACCCCCCATTCCCTCTCCAGAGAGGTCGCCTGAATCAGCAGTAGAGCTTAGGCCTCATCTGGCAAATAAAAATCCATTAGTTCCCTTTTGATCCAGGAAATTGAGTGGATCATAATGGTGGAGGAGGATTTCTGAGCGAAAAGCTTGCTTTGTCCCTCAAATGAAAATATGTGAAGTCACAGAAAGTCTTTTCCATTAGTGTTTTGACAGTGGCGAGGGAAGAAGATATAAGCAGCACTTAGAGTTCATGGCTAGATGAAAATGGGAATTTGGGGACTAAAAAGTTAATATAATAACTTACGATATTAAGGTCTGATGGCTGGATTTTTTGTTAGAGCAGGGCTTCCTGTAGGAAAGAAAAATCATGAACTAGATCTCTTTAAGTTTATGAGATTATAAGAAGATGGATTAATGAGAAAATGACACAAGTAATCTCACATTATTCTCCTCTGGGTTTCAAAAGAGATCTCAATGATGGCTCAAACTCTGCTCTGACTTGCCAAGAGACCAAAGTTCACATTTTAAACACAATTTTCATATTGAGATTTCTAATGACCAAATGAGCTGAATTTCTGATCCGAGAATGATATCCACATTCATTTCATACCACTATCAATAATTCATTTTAATTTCATTCAGAAAGAACAGTGCTGGCTGAGACAAAGTTGATACTTAAATTAAACTCTATTCAGTTATGAGCAACCTTTAGGCAATACAGTTTTCCCTCTGTGTTTGTTCGTCCACTAAAAACTGAACTGTGCTAAGTGGGCTAAGATTAGCTTAGCATAGCTGGCTCGGATTTGCCGTTTTCTGTGATCACTCCGTAATAGGCTACTTCCAGGAAAGATCTTACAGTTGTTTCGGGGAAGCACCAAGAGACACCATGAGCTGTTGAGAACGATACCATTGTATGTGATTGACAGTTAAGATCTGTGGATTAGTGCATGTCTGTTTGGATTTTATGACTTTTTTCCTGCGCCTGTCTGCGTGAGTCTTGTAATCTGTCTGTCTGAACGCATAGGTATGTGGAGAGAACATGCACCTGCAGTTTGTTTCCTGCCAAAATCTGTTCTGTACACACACACACACACATATCCCTTTAGTTACTGATCCAGCCATGCCGGCCACTCGGCAGACGTCCATGTTGTCTGTTCGCTGGTATCTCAGCTAACTGAAACTACCCTGAAAAAAACAGACCGCTGAAAGCCGCCCTTTCCTTTTGTTGCAGGAAAAGCGCTCTTGATTGACAAGACAAATAATTGCATTTACATTTGTAATATACAGTATAATAATACAGTGTGATTAAAATTAAAAGATGAAACATTTATACAATAACAACTCAAATTTTATCCAGTTTTGTGTATAAATGTTTACATTTTCTGACCAAATAATTAGTCAAGAAGAAGCTGCACTGTGGGAAACAGTATCTGCAGTATTTTCTGTTTTATACTAAACATTATGGTAAATAGTATGGTCACCCTGCTGTGTCATGAATACAGAATATACGGATATAGCCTACTGCGTAATGCAGAAATAATAAGCAAAGTATGGTAGTATGTTATCCTAAATATAGCCAATAACCAATATATGTGGTTCATGACATGCGGTAGCGAAGTCAGCTATGATTTAATACGGGTTTCAACATGGTACTTACAGTGGTGGCCAATAGGGATGTTGACATCTTCACCCTATATTTAAATATATTGCGAGAGAAGCAAGGAAATATTCATAACTGATTATGTCAGTGAATGCCTTTCTTGTGAGCTTTTTTGCATAGTAAAATAAAGCCTCTAAGCTGTAGTTTGTCAAATAGTTTTGTCACAAAATACTTTAACCAAATTTAGTGTTTTGTTTTTCCTAATTAATAATATATATATATATATATATATACACTCACCTAAAGGATTATTAGGAACACCATACTAATACTGTGTTTGACCCCCTTTCGCCTTCAGAACTGCCTTAATTCTACGTGGCATTGATTCAACAAGGTGCTGAAAGCATTCTTTAGAAATGTTGGCCCATATTGATAGGATAGCATCTTGCAGTTGATGGAGATGCACATCCAGGGCACGAAGCTCCCGTTCCACCACATCCCAAAGATGCTCTATTGGGTTGAGATCTGGTGACTGTGGAGGCCATTTTAGTACAGTGAACTCATTGTCATGTTCAAGAAACCAATTTGAAATGATTCGAGCTTTGTGACATGGTGCATTATCCTGCTGGAAGTAGCCATCAGAGAATGGGTACATGGTGGCCATAAAGGGATGGACACGGTCAGAAACAATGCTCAGGTAGGCCGTGGCATTTAAACGATGCCCAATTGGCACTAAGGGGCCTAAAGTGTGCCAAGAAAACATCCCCCACACCATTACACCACCACCACCAGCCTGCACAGTGGTAACAAGGCATGATGGATCCATGTTCTCATTCTGTTTAGGCCAAATTCTGACTCTACCATCTGAATGTCTCAACAGAAATCGAGACTCATCAGACCAGGCAACATTTTTCCAGTCTTCAACTGTCCAATTTTGGTGAGCTCTTGCAAATTGTAGCCTCTTTTTCCTATTTGTAGTGGAGATGAGTGGTACCCGGTGGGGTCTTCTGCTCTTGTAGCCGATCCGCCTCAAGGTTGTGTGTGTTGTGGCTTCACAAATGCTTTGCTGCATACCTCGGTTGTAACGAGTGGTTATTTCAGTCAAAGTTGCTCTTCTATCAGCTTGAATCAGTCGGCCCATTCTCCTCTGACCTCTAGCATCAACAAGGCATTTTCGCCCACAGGACTGCCGCATACTGGATGTTTTTCCCTTTTCACACCATTCTTTGTAAACCCTAGAAATGGTTGTGCGTGAAAATCCCAGTAACTGAGCAGATTGTGAAATACTCAGACCGGCCCGTCTGGGACCAAGAACCATGCCACACTCAAAATTGCTTAAATCACCTTTCTTTCCCATTCTGACATTCAGTTTGGAGTTCAGGAGATTGTCTTGACCAGGACCACACCCCTAAATACATTGAAGCAACTGTCATGTGATTGGTTGATTAGATAATTGCATTAATGAGAAATTGAACAGGTGTTCCTAATAATCCTTTAGGTGAGTGTATATAATGTATTAACTTGTAGGGTCATACAAACAAACATGTCCCTCTGGCCCCGTCTGGACATCACTTTCTGTACATGTTTCATACTAAAAGTTGGAACAGTTTAAAAGTATTAAAAGTTGGAACAGTTTTAATCAAAAATTGATTTCAGATGCAAAATTTCTTAGGTGTTAAACAAATATTTCTGCTGTAGTACGTGTGCAAACCGCTCTGATTCTGCCAGAAGCTCATTGCCAGACAAGCACTAACATCAACCTTGTTTGTTGTTTCTACTCCTTTCCTCTAGACAAACCAGAGTACAGGAAACACCCCCAGACTTCTTCTACTTCTCTGACTTTGAGCGACACAACGCAGAGATCGCTGCATTTCATCTGGACAGGTAAGACTAAACCACCAGCAGAGAGAAAGGGAGAGAGAGTTATTTGCAGGTCTCTTACAATTCAAATGATTAATTGTTAAAGTTAGTACATAGTAGTTAAAGTTATAAAGCGGGTCCACATAAATAGCTGATCCAATGTTTTTGTTGGCTGTATTCCTTATTTTCTTGTATATTTTACTGTTTCAGAGACAAACTGGTACCATCTGAATAACAATGAGATCATGTGACCTTAAGGATTGCCAAGAATTTATGCTTAGCTTCCCACTGTGTTTACTTTGTGTTTACTCTGCCTTTATCTTCGTCTGACAGAAATGTTTGGAGGCGTTTAGATATGATGGGTATGTGATTTTGTTTTAAGGTGTATGACATTAATGATAAGGTTGGAAGAGACAAGATCAGATTGCCAGTGAATTTGACAATGTCATCAGTATTGACTGAACTTCAAATTGTATTTCTCATTGTTGTAGACAACTTTTTCCTGGTTTTTAATGTGGCATAATGGTATCTACACAGCAATCAATAATGTCTCTTGCACCTGAATGTTACATTATAACATAAAATTGTCTCAATAGTTTTCATTATTAGGGGCCAAGGACTGTTAGTTATCTCTATCCAGTGGTTTATAATAACATAAGGGTATAATAAACGTTGTCGAATAACGGCGCAAACGAATTCGACGAAGAGCGCGTAAAAATGGATGCAAAGCTATATCTCCGCAACGCTTTAGCATTTGAGAGTCTGGGTATATGTCATCACAAGCAAGAACTGAGGCTACTTGTGGCTTTTCCGGACAGCGCCACCTACTGGTCTGGAGATATGAAAATGATTAGTTTTGCTTGTAACTTCTGAACGGCTTGCCAAAAAATCATAAAACCGGTCTCTTTTGATTCAGTGCAGGATATCCAGTCAAATGATGATGGCCATTTTGGGCGTCGGCCATTTTGAATTATGTCGTAAAAAGCTGTATTTTATTATACACATTAGCATATAGTCACGAAATTTGATGTGTGTCATCAGCACCATGCCCTAAAGGTACTCAAAAAGTTTTGAGACAGCGGCACCATGTGGTCAAAAATTATAGTGAAATTTCCAAAAGTGCTAATAGCTGATTCATTTTTTTCTATTTTAATTAAACTGGTTCTCTCGTACAGAGAACAACTTTTTTTTACCAATTTTGACATATTCAGTTAAAATTGCTGTCTGCCATTTTGAACTTCTTTGAAAACCTATTTATTTTATCTCCTCCTAGACCGTTGGTCCAATTTTCACCAAAGACCATATGAGACCATGCCTGCAAAACATTTATTAAAAGCTTTTTGATTGACCAAACCCTTCTCGAATGTTGGCATGATGCCAAGCTGTAACTGCAACCCTTTGGCAAATTGACAAGAAACTTTGTACGTGTCATTGTCACCTTACACTGACCCTACAACATCTATTTGGTAACAGCGCCAACTATTGATCAAAAGTGATAAGCAGTTAAATCATATCATTAGTAGTTGCTTGGCCCCTTAATTGCTGCTTGCAGCTATATTTATTATTATTATTATTCTGATGCACAACCAACATCAAAAGCGACACATGCTGATGAATTCCAGAAGCAGCACCTACATTATGTTATTTTGTTATATAAATACTGAGCACATCTGAATTCCAGTGAAGCACTGTTTTTTTAGTAAATAAATAAGTAGAAATGTTATGAAGAAATAAATTACTTATTTGAAAGAAATACTTTGATGTTATGTTGTAAATTCAAAAAGTCTGGTTGTCTTACAATCTAGTAGCCTGTGTGACGGCTCATTCAAACCGCATTCAACCAAATAGCCTTTAAGAGTAAATTCCCCTCACAGAGACCTTCAGTTTGGCTTTCACCCAGTTATTTCACTGAAAACACCTGTAGGACTCTGATACTACTCTGGAATGGACGTGGGCAGGGGAAAAGAAACCAAAACCACACACACACACACACACACAAACATCTCACATTTACGCACGAGATCGCGCACACTGTTGTGATGTCAGAAAGCCAAACCAACTCTTATTATATTCCCGCCACTCTGCGCATGTCACTCAAGACTTTTGGACAACGGCCTGAAAAGCACTTAGTGCTATAGAGTCGATACACCTTACGGTTACACCGAGAGTAACAAGGTGCATGTGAGTGCAGGCAGAAGTCAGAAGAAAACTCCCTGCTGACTTTAACAAGAAGCCCCACAGAGGAAGGCTTTGTGGAGTCAGAGAGCTAATTGAGCTTGTGAGACTCACTTGATTTCCTCCAGAACGTTGTTGCTGTCATGTCCATGATTTTTATTTAGGAGAGAAAAAGCGCAGTATGATATGCCAATTTATTGTCAGCTGAGTGTAACGCTGAGAGGATGCTTGCCAGTGAATTATTATATTGATATTCCATTAGCGTGAGAGCATGTGAAAACAATTGAATCGGACAAGAAACGTTGTGCTACTGCAGTATGTTTACAGTACGTAAACCACTTCCAACGGCGGTTCCTCGCTGTTATAGCTTATTTCCACAAACGTCTGTTTCTAGAATGCGGCGTTTCCACACTGGGCTCTTTGTCGCCTGCGTCCAGAGTTGCTTTTGCAACTTGCGACCCCTGAGTGGTTTCATCTCAAAGGCTTGGGTTTCTGTCTCTCAGGGGCCGGGAGCCCATGCGTCGTTGGAGGTTGAATGTTGAAAGCGCTCCCACCACACGATGTGAGCATTTCTCCGAGACGGCCCACTGCACACACAGACAAAGACTGAGAACTGAATAAACCCTCCACCAGGGTTGTGCACCAGTCAGAATTGAATTCTGAAAGACTTTTACATTACAATTCCTCTAAAAATCCTCTATTTGAATTGAAATGCAAACATGGTGCAAATTCAAACTGTATTGTCACACTGTGTGGCCGTAATGAGCGCACTAAGACAATAGGCAGTCTTTTAATGACTGCCACAGAATAACATGACCATATAATACTAAGACGACACGGAACACAACTGAGGAAACTAAGGACTTAAATACATAAGAAGTGGTAATGAACTGAACAGAAACAGGTGCGTAATTATGAACTATGGAAACTAATAGGGAACACAGGCAAACAGGAAAACCAAAACACCATGATAATGAAACAGAACATAACCTTTATATTGTGATTCGAGTTTGAATACAAGAAAGTTAAACTGAATGGAATTAAACTGAAAGAAACTATTCTAACTCTTCTGTGTGTAGTTATTAGTAATATGTTTCATTTTACCTATGAATTACTTCTAAACATATGGTCATACACGCAACTTATGGAGTATATTTCCAGAAACATTATATAATACTGTATTAATAATCAAACGTCATGTAGACTAAATTTATATTTAGTGGCTACATAAAAGTGATAGTGTCAATATATAAAGTAATTATTTTGAGTTATGTCATAATTATTCAACCCCTATATCGCTGCTGTTTTTAAGTCACATATTTGTATGCTAGGGTACAAAGCCTTTGGAAACTCTATAACAAAACAGAATTAGCTTGTGCTGTTACACACACATACATTTAGCCCTTGCAAGTGCTAGAGTTGAGTAGCAAACATGGCCAAGTTTAAAGAGTTCTCATAAAAGCTATAGAGAACAAATTGTTTTATTACATTAGAAAGTCTATGGCTTGAAGAAAATTTCCAAAACACTAAAAGTTTGTAGAGACACAGCTGGCAGCCTTATTCATAAGTTTAAAATTTGTTTTTACCAAGATTATAATTAAGGGGAATAAAATGTTTGATCAGAGCAACTGAGAAAAAATAAATAAAAATGACTGCCAAAGATCTCCAAGATGACCCGATGAAAGGAGGAAAAAACATTTCAATGCAGAGTATAAGAAGAACACTAGACAATATGCTAAAATTAATTTGGATAGACCTGTGGGGTTCTGGAAGAATGTTTTATGGAGTGATGTGACCAAACTGGAACTTTTTAGGACCCATGGATCAGCGGTATGTCTGATGCAAAAAAGGTAAAGCTTATGAGTAGAAGAACACCATCTTCATGGTCAAACACGGAGGTCCTCCAGTCTTGTTATGGGGTGCTTTGCTGTTCCAGGAAGTGGAAATCTTGACTGTATAAAAGACATCATAAATTCTTTGAATCAAGCCATTTTGGCAAAGATTGTGATGCAGAGACTGAAGCTTGATGATCATCAATGGACTTTCCTGCAGGACAGCCATCCCAAAGTATACATCCAAATCAGGGATCAGTCATAGAACGTTCTTGAGTGGCCTGTACAGTCTTCAGGTTTACATCTCATTGAAAATATCTGGTGGAAATATGAAGCAAGCAGTGGTGTCGTGAAAATCAAAGATTATCAGTGATCTGGAAGCTTTTTCAAGCAAGGAATGGGCCAAAATTGCAGTAGAGAGGAGATAGAAGCTTCTAAGCACTCGCAGCGTTTATTGGACGCTATAAAGAATAAAAGATTCTGGACAAAGTTTGACTTTTTGGGGTTGAATAATTTTGAACATGAATGTTTAGAGCCAGTTTGATCAACTTTATGTTCTCAGAATCACTCAAATGTGTATTAATACATTTTCTATAATAGTTTACTGATGCCTTTGTTAAATTGTTTACATAAAATGTTGTTCTTAGCAGCAAAATGTCTTTCAGGTCAAGGGGGTTGAATAATTTTGATTGCAAATGTGTGTGTGTGTGTATGTATATATATATATATTTGACCATAGTGAGGATAATAAATATCATATATTTGTTTAAATTTGTATTTACATTTAATAACTTAAATTAAAAAAATTACTTAGAATACGTCTTTTTGTCTGGGTTTTTTTTTTTCATTTCTTTTATTAAAATCTGTCGATCAGTTGAAGAAAAAAATATTCTAGGTGTTAAGGGATACAAAAAAAAACATATCATTATAAAAATGAATAATCTAAGGTTGTGTTTTACTACAAATCTTGTGTGAAGTTAATGAAATTCCTCTGTTGAATTTCTTTTAATTGAATTCCTCTTCCTATGTATAATTCCACTTCAACTTCGTGTGGGGCGTGTGGCTGATTTAATTCAAAATTCACATTCTGGAATTCCAATTCTGACTATTTTGCCCAAGACAAGTACACAAGAAAGACGAAATGAGTGGGAAAGCAGAGGCCATTTATATCCTGCGGTCTGTGGCCAGATGCTAAAACGCCAATAAAAGTCTTTAAAGAGCTAATAAAGAACAATCACAGAGGTGTCATAAAGCCAGTGAGTAAAGAGTGGGCTCAGTTGCTTAGCAGTAGCACCTTGAAGAAAAAATCGTTATCCAGCCACTTTAGAAATTGCTTTATTCTATGGATTTTCTGCACTGTTTATTGTTTGCTTCCTCATTATTGAATGCGGCAGAAGATTGAATGTCTGGTGTCACCGTTCTCATAAAGCAGCCTGTGAACTGTGCAACGTCTGGATGAAGAAACACCACAGGTGTTGCATCTGATAATGCATTGCAAATGAATAATTGACACGGTTGTTTGTTTGTGGCGCACAGAATCCTGGATTTCCGGAGAGTTCCCCCGGTGGCCGGCAGGTTGGTGAACATGACACGGGAGATCCGAGACGTGACCCGTGACAAAAAGCTCTGGCGGACATTCTTCGTTTCCCCAGGTATGAGTGGCTTCCGCGTGCCCTTTTCTTCTATCCCATCACGCCATACTCCCCCGCCCCCTCCTGATTGTTGGCTTCTCACGCGTATAGAGTTCAGCACAGCGACAGAAACTGCATCACTACATGCTAAAAGTATGCAGTTCCCTGCCAAATCCTCAAAACAATTCACACTTCTGAGCACGAAGTAAGCCGGTTGTATGACAAACTTCCAGATGGCTATGTTGTGCAGAAGTGTTAGCATTTGTGTTAGCCTACATAGCGTCAACATTAGCATCTTGCTTTACATATTTACAACTGCATATTCCTTATTTCAGCAGCAAAATCCACAGAGAACCATCACAAACAACTACAGCCAATATGAGCAACCCCTAGCCAAGATGCTAGGCTAATTACAGCCTTTAATTGGGGAGTAACAAGCATGCAATAACACACGTGCAGCAAGTTTGGCAACTAAATTACCGACATTTAGATGATGTAAGTGTTCGGATGAGGCACACAGATTGGCCATATTCTTTCTCTGCAGGGCTATCATTAGCATTCTGCCTCCACTTTTCATGACAAATGTGTTTTTGTGGGAAGGAGTGAAAGGGCTCCTCTTCCCCCGGGGAGCCGTGTCAGGAAACATTTGAAAAAAGGCGTTATACACAATGATTCATCATTGGCTAAACAGCAGCGTTTAATGAGCCCTTGGTGAATCCGAGCGTTTTAGATCGCTGACATCCTCCATCACATAAAGGCACATCTGGAGAAGTCACCTATTTCAAAAACATGCTCTACAAACTGGATTAACACTATAAACAAAGATTGTCATAGTTGCTTTCAAATGTGTTTACCATCATGATGGTGGGGGTATGATGCTATACAAATGTGTGTGTCAACCTTTTTTTTTTTTCTACCACGGTAGATACATTTATGTGGCTATTACTTAGGGCGGCTGCTTTCCGTTATTTATATACAAGACTAATTAAGAAACATGGAGTGAAGGAAAAATACAGAGCAGGATGTGTCTCAAACAAGTCAACATGAAGAAAAGGTTAATCTAAGCAGGTCAACTGTTGTGTGTTGGTTATTTTATAACAAAATGTTGCTCCTCAAAACAGAATTTATAATACTACCCCTGTGAAAAAGAAGCACACTTTTAAAAAGAGTACTTATTACAGAAATAATATACTTTGAAGGAACATACCGGTAGTACAAATTGAATTAAATGTTTTGGGACACTTAATTGCATGTTATTTGCAATTACATGAAAATGCATTACAGTTTAAATTCATATTACATGGAATAAGCTGAACTTTTTTGACACTTAAATAGGACTTACGTACATCTGTATATGTAATTTCATAATAACAGCTTTTGTCGTTGAAATATGGTTATAGTGTGCGGCTGAATGTGAGAATTTATGGTAAACTAAAATACACTTCAATGTAATTTCTCTTAAAACTTGTATGTTATGTATTTAAAATAATTTGTAATTATGTAGTTGCAATTTAGTACATTTAAAATGCATCAGCTTTCATAACTTTCAGCTTAGGGCTGTCAAACGATTAATCACGATTAATCGCATCCAAAATAAAAGTTTGTGTTTACATGTGTGTGTGCTGTGTATAATTATTTTGTATATAAATGCACACATGTGTATATTTAAGAAAAATATATTATCTTTATATAAAATGTTTATATTTATATAAAATATACATTATATATAGGCTACATTCAGTCTATATACATGCAAATATTTCTTAAATACACATGCATGTGTGGGTATTAATGTATTAAAAATAATTATACACAGTACACACACATACACTACCGTTTAAAAGTTTGGGGTCAGTGAGAATTTTATTTTTATTATTTGGAGGAAAGAAATCAATACTTAATTTGATCGAAAGTGACAGTAAAGACATTTATAATGTTACAAAAGATTCTATTTCAAACAAATGCTGTTCTTTTGAACTTCCTATTCATCCTAAAAAAAAAACTAAAAAAACTGTACAACTGACAGACCAACAACTGTTTCAACATTGATAATAATAATAAATGTTTCTTGAGCATCAAATCCTCATATTATACTGATTTGTGAAGGATCATTTGACACTGAAGACACTGGCACTGGTGATGCTGAAAATTCAGCTTTGATCACAGGAATAAATTACACTTTACTATATATTCACACAGAAAACAGCTGATTTACACTGGAATAATATTTAATTTTATAACCGATTTTTGTTGTATTTTTAATCAAATAAGCGCAGCCATGGTGAGCAGAAGAGAATTCTTTTAAAAGTATTTAAAATCGTACCGACCCCAAACTTTTGAACGGTAGTGTATATTATGTAAACACAAACTTTTTTATTTTGGATGCGATTAATCGCGATTAATCGTTTGACAGCCCTACAAATAATACACTACATTTAACGTTAAAATCAAGTAACATGCTCTTTAGTATCTTAGTCAAGACATCAAAATAAGTTATTTAAAGCATGACAAAAGAGTATTAAACTAAAGCATACAAATTTTACATTTTAAACTTTAAATTTGATACAAAGTGCATTTTGGTTACACGTGTAACACGTTACATGTACTTACTATGGTAATAACAGTAAATTAAGCATAATTACATGCAACTAACCCTAAACCGAACCCTAATCCTAACCATATAGTAATCACTTGCACGGTTACACGTTATTTTAAGGTGTCCTTGTTACAGTGTAATTATACATTTAAGTACTGAGTAATATCAATTAACTGCATGCACTTACAAGTCACTTAGGTTAGGGTTTGGTTTAGGGTTATGCATGATTTACTGTTGTTAATATAACGTGTAACAAGGACACTGTAAAATAAAGTGTTACCTTTAAGTGCACTTCTTTTTCACCAGGGTATGGTTACACTTTATTTCAAGGTGTCCTTGTTACAGTGTAATTATTGATTTGAGTAATAATAATGTACTTTAAGGGTTAGGATTAGGGTATGCAGTTATTACTACAATAACTACATGTGTAAAAGTGTTACCGAGAGTACATGTACTGTTTTGAGTCTGTGTTTAACAGTAAGTTAAGAGTCTGTGTTGAGTAATCATATATCACGGTAATACAGCATGTATCAAGATATAGTTATTCTCCTAAAAAATCAATGAAAGGTTAATACTAGATGTATAATTCATGATTTGAAACATGAATTCGGCCTAGTAGATTATTTTCTTTCTTTATTTTTTCGAAACTGGATGCAATCTAAAAGATAAGATTATTTATGCATTACAAATCAATGCGCATCAGTGAGAACCAGCTGCTTCACGTTATATATAAAACTTGAGTTAAATATCTGGGGAGTCCGAAAAACTTGTAGGTTCAAACCCCGTAATGAGCAGTCAATAAGCTATTACCATTGCGTGCTTGAAGACACTTAACCCCATGTTACACCAGAGGGACTTTCCCTCACTAGTGGTCCATTTTGAGACCCCAAGAACGTTTTTTTCTCTCTTTCTCCCTCACCTCTGCAGCCAACAACATCTGCTTCTACGGCGAGTGCTCGTACTACTGCTCTACAGAACATGCCCTGTGTGGGAAGCCCGACCAGATCGAGGGCTCCCTGGCCGCATTTCTTCCTGACTTGGCACTGGCTAAGCGCAAGACCTGGAGGAACCCCTGGCGCCGTTCCTACCACAAACGCAAGAAAGCTGAGTAAGCTCTTTTTCTCTGCTTTATCTCAGGTCTCCACGCACCACCCCATATCTTCATTAAACTACAGTCTGGCTTTATCAGCAAAAAAGACTACTGCGGTTCTCACTTACTCTCAGAGAAATCCTATCTGTGCAGTAAAACAATGGGCCATCCTGTTTGAGATGGCAGTTGTACTCTAGTAGGGTTATTTACGAGAAGGGGCAAAATGCAGATCAAATTCAAAGGTGAAGTGAGTTTCTTAATGGTTTTCTCTGTTATAAGGTGGGAAGTGGATCCGGATTATTGTGATGAAGTCAAACAGACTCCTCCGTATGACCAAGGCACGCGACTTCTGGACATCATGGACATGACTATCTTTGACTTTCTAATGGGTAAGTGTTTTAAATTGTTGCAGTTTTGAATTGAGTATAGACTCATGAAGTCTTGGATCAAATTGAATTGACTTCCGTGCAGGAAAAAAGATACAGTTCATTGAACACCTTTTGTGACAACATGCCCCAGATAATCACCTGTACTTTTTGTCTCCTAGAAATTGTGTAATAGCCAGCCAATCAAATAGCTTAATATGGTGTATGTACTATATGAAAGCCTATTTCTGTCTTAGTGTAAAATTTTTTTTAAAATAAATAGGGAATTGTGCATACACTGTAGGGAAATTATATGATCGATAAGTTATGACAACATTTGTTTTTACATTGCTTTAACTAATCAAAAAGTTATACAAGATTCAACTCATTTTTTTAAGTCAGTTTAATGTAATTGAAGTTGAAATTACTGAAACATCCAAGTTGATTGTACTTAAAATTTTAAGGCAGCAATTTTTTTTTTTTTTTTTTTTTTTTTTTGTGAAGTCACAGTTACAAGACACAAAGTCAAACTGTATGATAAAAAAAGTCCCATTGTGAGATTCAAAAATTACATTTGGGAAGTGCAGTCACATTGCTAGCTTTATAAAGTCATGTCTCAAGATAACAAAAAAAAATACATTTGGCAGATATTAAGTTGCATTATGAGATATGAAGTCACATTGCTAGCTTTATAAAGTCATGTCTCAAGATAACAAAAAAAATACATTTGGCAGATATTAAGTTGCATTATGAGATATGAAGTCACATTGCAAAATAAAAAAATGTACACAGTGAGATAAATTTTTATATAAAGTCACATTTTGCGATAAAGTCACACTGCGAAATAAAAAAACAAATCATATTTGGGTGATATGCAGTAACTGTGAAATTGAAAAAAGTCACACTGTGAGATATGGTCACCTTACAAGATAAACAAAGAATATAAGTGTATATAAAGTCAAATTGTAAGATGTAAAGTCACACATATATAAAATATAATGTCTCAAAAATAACATCACAATTTTGAGATACAAAGTCAGGTAAAGTTACATCTTTGTTACATAACATGCAACTTACCCCAAACATAACTCTAATATTAAGCAAGTACATTTTGTTCATTAATATTACTCTGTATCTCCCAGACTTTAGGTTTACACTTTATTTAAAGGTGTCCTTGTTACAGTGTAATTATATGCTTAAGTACAAACTCAGGAGTATTCAGGTTTCGAGAAATAAAGTCATGAATGCTAGATATGAAGTCAGCATTGTGGGATGTAAAGGCTCCAGTAGTGATCAGACTGTGGGTGGTCTCTGGGTGTGTCGTCTGAGGTTGAGAGTATTTTGATCCCGTCTTCAGCGAGGCTGTTCTGGTGGGACTTCCCCTGTTCATCATAAGTCCATGCTGCTTTTCTGTGGGGAGGACATTGTGTGAACAAACTCATTCAGCCCTGGTTGTGTGTGGATGAATACTGGGTGTGTCTCAATCAGTTCACTGGTTCAGTAGTCAGGGCACTGATCAGGGTGTCGGCCATTTTAAAGGGATACTCCACTTTTTTTGGAAATAGGCTCATTTTACAACTCCCCCAGAGTTAAACTGTTGAGTTTTACCGTTTTTGAATCCATTCAGCCGATCTCCGGTTCTGGCGGTACCACTTTTAGCATAGCTTAGCATACATCACTGAAGTGGACAAGACCATTAGCATTTCTAAAAAAAGAAAAAGACCAAAGAGTTTCTGTCATGATCCAGCCTTCTTGTCCTTGATTTCCTCTAGTCTTGAGGCTGGATCATGACAGACCCAATTGTTTGGGCCATGTGCTTGTGTTGTCTCGTCTCGTTACCCCGCCCCCTTGTTATCCTCGTCTTGTCATTATTGTCTAGTCAGTTTCACCTGTCCTTGTCATTAGTGTTCCCTTTATATTCCCCTTGTGTTTGCTGTCCTGTGCCGGTTCATTGTGAAACTTTGTGATTCATGTCTGAGTGCTTGTCTAACATTGTCATCCTTGTGAGTATCCTGTCAAGTGTATTGTCTACAGAGAAGTTCTGATTCTTCGTTTGCTGTTTTGTTTACCGTCAAGTCATTATCTAGTTTTAGTCGATCCTGTTCCAGTCCTGTTTTGCCCCCTCGTGGGTTTTGTTTTCCCTGTTTTTGTCTGTCAATAAACCTTGTGTGAACGCATACTGTCTGCGCTTGGGTCCATCCTCCACTTCATAACAGTTTCGATATTTTTCCTATTTAAAACTTGACTCTTCTGTAGTTACATCGTGCGCTAAGACCGACGGAAAATGTAAAGTTGCGATTTTCTAGGCTGATATGGCTAGGAACTATACTCTCATTCCTGCGTATCAGCCTAGAAAATCGCAACTTTACATTTTCCGTCGGTCTTAGTGCACGATGTAACTACAGAAGAGTCAAGTTTTAAATAGGAAAAATATGGAAATACTTTGGTCATTTTTTTATGAGAAATGCTAATGGTCTTGTCCACTTCAATGATGTATGCTAAGCTATGCTAAAAGTGGTACCGCCAGAACCGGAGATCGGCTGAATGGAGTCAAAAACGGTAAAACTCTGGGGGAGTTGTAAAATGAGCCTATTTCCAAAAAAAGTGGAGTATCCCTTTAAGGGCTGTCACAATCGCAAAATCTCTCCTGTACATTGGAACGTTCGCTCCCTGAAAAATCCCACAATGCACTGCGAAAACCAGGGAACATCGATGCATCTATGCTCCCTTAACGGAAATTATGTCGCATTTCTGAAACACAAAACATTAAACGCACGAGCCAATATCATGCGCATATTTTTATTTTTATTATTATTATATGTCAGCATAAACACACATCGCTAGACAGGTGGTGAACACATCTAGTTAACATTTATAATTAATATTTGGCTGAAATGTTGTAAGGATATGTAACAGAACAATGTGTTTATTAAACAGCATAATAAATAATATAAAAAATATATAGGTTTTACAACATTGTATGTAGTCATGTCGCCGGAAATTGAGTAATCACTGTCCCAGTCTCAGACCCACTGTGTCGGCCCAGTTGAATCCACATGTACCAGATGTGGCCCGGATCTAGGCCGACACTATGTTGCTGTCTGGGAGTGTGTAGTGAACCAGGGGCCTTACCGTATTATACACAAAAGAGCTGATTGAGACGCACCCATAGAAACTGATTCAAGTGTTTACTTATTAGTCATTAAGACAACTAAAATGATCAACTGTAAATCTGGACTTTATGAATCATAATTTAACCCCTTAGATAACCCATTATGGTTTCTTTTTTTTTTGTATCATATTTGACATATCAGGCTTTTATGGCTCATATAGTATGATATAGTGACAATATGAAGCTCACATTTAAGGAGGAAAAACACCTCACCTTAATTCGGAGGCCCAAACTGAGCAAAAATATGCAATTTTGGTCCAGATGCTGATATTTATATGACCGGAAAAGTAAGATGAAATGATAGCTTGTAATGTAAATCATTGAGATTTAACAAACACGGCATGTAGTAGATTGTGTGCAACAGGTTTTTCAGCAGTTGTAAATGTGATCATGTTGATAATACGACACAGTAGGCTCTATAGGGCTACCTTAAAGGTGCGATGGACTTCCTTTTATCAGTAATGGACATTCAATTATTTTAGGTTCTACATCCCACGTCAATCCTCCCCTATTTCACTCTCTCCATTTTTAAATTGAACAGGCAACATGGATCGTCACCATTACGAGACTTTTGAGAAGTTTGGAAATGAGACTTTCATTATTCATTTGGACAACGGCAGAGGGTAAGCCGCCTTTATTAATGTGTAACGTCCTGTCCGTCCTTCACACCTCGCTCATCATGACTCCACACACTGGCACTTCCTTTTTTACACTGAAACCATGGAAACAGCGTGTTTCTATCTTAAGAGGTTGTGAATATGTAGATGTGGGGTGGAAGGTCCGATTTTTATGGTGTCGTGTCTCAGGGTGTAATATGTGTGCAGTCGAAGGGCTCACGGTGGGTATGAAGCCACACAGGTGCTCAAACAGATAAAGGATTTTGATTAAACTGACATTCTGCTTTTTCATTCTCTACATTTGTTGCTGAAGCTGGCCACTGTGCGGAGCTGTAGAGAGTTACGTTCAAGCTTTGGTGATCAAAGATGAGTTTTAAGGGATACAATTATTGACCACAGGGGGACTTTGAATGTAGGAATTAGCTTACTCAAATATTTAAGATTACGATCAATTAAAATGTATGAGGACAAAATAAAAATCTGCCAGTTCTTCTTAAACTTTGAATGTATTAACTGAATGTAATGTTTTTGTAAACTTAATTGCATAATAATTGCAATAGTTGAATTTTTTTGTAACCCACTAAAAGTAGGACATAATTACATCTTTATATAACTCATAATTACTTCTATTGTCTTTGAAATATGGTTACAGTTACTGACAAGCATTTATGGTGAACTAAAATACACTTTAATGTCATTTTAATTGAAACTTGTATGTCATTTATTTAAACATATTTGTAATTACACATTTTTAATGATGAGGTTGCAATTCGGTACATTTAAAATATATTAACTTTAAACTGTCGATAACACACTACAGTTAAAATTATAATCAAGTACTATTTAGTATGTGCTTTAGTATGCTAGTCAACACGTCAAAATAAGTGTACTTCTTTAAAGCACGACAGGAGATTATTAAAATGATTTAAAATGTACTTTAAATTCAAACTTTTAAAGGTGCAGTATGTAATATTGACAACTAGTGGTTGAAATAGGCACTGCAGTCCAAATTCAAAATATTGGAGACGGTTGTTTCTCCCTCCTCCTCCTCCTCCTCAGACTCAATGCTCACACGGGTTGCCAGATAGAGGACATGTGACAGGAATGAGCACAATTGACAATGAATAGTGACGAGCCTTACACTGTAAGTTGATTAGTTGATTTATCCATGTTTTAATAAGCCTCTAGTCATAAGGCTTTTTAGATGGATGCCGGGTTTTTTTAGGTCGGGTAGAATTAGCAATCTATGACTTAGTATCTTTACCGGCTTCCATGGCTTACTGTGTTTTCCGCCAACTACTGTAGCAACCCGGGTGTCGAAATACTATTGGGTAAATTGGCAGTGGGCGGAGTCACACATAAAAATAAAATAAAACAGACATTCCCCACACGAAACTCACATTTTAAAGTAGAATAACTGTCTGTAGCATTGTTTGTCAGAGAAACGAGTATGTGAACTTAGCATGTTCCCTAAATATCTGCAAACATATTATGGAATTTTTGTCAAAAAAATACATACAGCACCAAAAAAAAAATCCATTTTTAAAAGTAAAACATAGGCATGAAAGTGTGCTGTTTTTAAGTAAACTTACGTGGCCTTTTATTTATCTAACATTATCTGCAATACAGTGTTTTGTTTTTGTATATATATGTTTTCAGATTTGAAGTACACTACAAGCGCACTTCACCATTTAAAAATATAAAATACCAGACATTCAACTTCTGTTTCTTTCTAACCCCTCAGATTTGGAAAGCATTCACATGATGAAATGTCCATCCTGGTCCCGTTGACTCAGTGCTGCAGGTAAGATTGTTTTTCTCCTCTTTGAGACATCTCTTGAATTGAGGCAATAGCTTTCCAACCGAGAGAGTGACTGCAGTGCAGTAATTCACTATAGCACTGACACAAACACATCCTGCTGTCTGCTGTGCTCTGTTACTGCAGCTATATCCTTTATTGCACATTTACATTTATTTCCTGTGGCTGATGTTTTCTTGCTAGAACAATCTATAAATGGTTTCCAAAAAAAAAAAACACTGGCACACCAATTTGCATACTTCTACTATGTAAGCTGGTCGTGCTATAGACCACTTTGGTTGCTAACTATTTGTCACTGTGAGCATGTGGCTAGATTTAATATTCCACTTAATATCCCCTTTCACACAGAACAAGTTTTTGCATCACACTGCACTACTTTTTCATTGATTTTCTATGTAAACATGTGCTAGATGGATGTCTTTGACCTTTTAAAAAAGGCATCTTTTTCCATTAAAAAAAAGAATCTTGAAACTTTTTTCTACACAACAAAGGTTTACTGTTAAAATTAAAAGAAAATTGTGTGATACTCCTTAAAAATAAAGTTATTTTTATTGTTATTATTATTATTAGTAGTAGTCAGTAGTAGTAGTAGTCACCAGTAGTAGTAGTAGTAGTAGTAGTAGTAGTAGTCAGTAGTAGTAGTCAGCAGTAGTAGTAGTCAGTAGTAGTCAGTAGTAGTAGTTGTAGTAGTAGTAGTCAGTAGTAGTAGTCAGCAGTAGTAGTAGTCAGTAGTAGTCAGTAGTAGTAGTTGTAGTAGTAGTCAGTAGTAGTAGTAGTAGTCAGTAGTAGTAGTAGTAGTAGTAGTAGTAGTAGTCAGTAGTAGTAGTAGTAGTAGTAGTAGTCAGTAGTAGTAGTAATCAGTATTAGTAGTCAGTAGTAGTTGTCAGTAGTAGTAGTAGTCAGCAGTAGTAGTAGTAGTAGTCAGTAGTAGTAAGTAGTAGTCAGTAGTAGTAGTTGTAGTAGTAGTCAGTAGTAGTAGTAGTAGTCAGTAGTAGTAGTAGTAGTCAGTAGTAGTAGTAGTTGTCAGTAGTAGTAGTAGTAGTCAGTAGTAGTTGTCAGTAGTAGTAGTAGTCAGTAGTAGTCAGCAGTAGTAGTAGTAGTTGTCAGTAGTAGTAGTCAGCAATAGTAGTAGTAGTAGTCAGTAGTAGTTGTCAGTAGTAGTAGTAGTCAGCAGTAGTAGTAGTCAGCAGTAGTAGTAGTAGTTGTCAGTAGTAGTAGTAGTAGTAGTCAGTAGTAGTAGTAGTAGTTGTCAGTAGTAGTAGTAGTAGTCAGTAGTAGTCAGCAGTAGTAGTAGTAGTTGTCAGTAGTAGTAGTAGTTGTCAGTAGTAGTAGTAGTCAGTAGTAGTCAGTAGTAGTAGTCAGTAGTAGTAGTAGGTAGTAGTAGTAGTAGTAGTAGTCAGTAGTAGTAGTAGGTAGTAGTAGTAGTAGTAGTAGTCAGTAGTTGTCAGTAGTAGTTGTCAGTAGTAGTAGTAGTAGTAGTAGTAGTAGTCAGTAGTTGTCAGTAGTAGTAGTAGTAATCAGTATTAGTAGTCAGTAGTAGTCAGTAGTAGTAGTAGTAGTAGTCAGTAGTAGTCAGTAGTAGTAGTAGTAGTAGTCAGTAGTAGTAGTAATCAGTATTAGTAGTCAGTAGTAGTTGTCAGTAGTAGTAGTAGTCAGCAGTAGTAGTAGTAGTAGTAGTCAGTAGTAGAAAGTAGTAGTCAGTAGTAGTAGTTGTAGTAGTAGTCAGTAGTAGTAGTAGTAGTCAGTAGTAGTAGTAGTAGTAGTAGTAGTAGTAGTCAGTAGTAGTAGTAGTAGTAGTCAGTAGTAGTAGTAATCAGTATTAGTAGTCAGTAGTAGTTGTCAGTAGTAGTAGTAGTCAGCAGTGGTAGTAGTAGTTGTCAGTAGTAGTAGTAGTAGTCAGTAGTAGTCAGTAGTAGTAGTAGTAGTTGTCAGTAGTAGTAGTAGTAGTCAGTAGTAGTTGTCAGTAGTAGTAGTAGTCAGTAGTAGTCAGCAGTAGTAGTAGTAGTTGTCAGTAGTAGTAGTCAGCAGTAGTCAGTAGTAGTAGTCAGTAGTAGTTGTCAGTAGTAGTAGTAGTCAGCAGTAGTAGTAGTCAGCAGTAGTAGTAGTAGTTGTCAGTAGTAGTAGTAGTTGTCAGTAGTAGTAGTAGTTGTCAGTAGTAGTAGTAGTAGTTGTCAGTAGTAGTAGTAGTTGTCAGTAGTAGTAGTAGTCAGTAGTAGTCAGCAGTAGTAGTAGTAGTTGTCAGTAGTAGTAGTAGTTGTCAGTAGTAGTAGTAGTCAGTAGTAGTAGTCAGTAGTAGTAGTAGGTAGTAGTAGTAGTAGTAGTAGTCAGTAGTAGTAGTAGGTAGTAGTAGTAGTAGTAGTAGTCAGTAGTTGTCAGTAGTAGTTGTCAGTAGTAGTAGTAGTAGTAGTAGTCAGTAGTTGTCAGTAGTAGTAGTAGTAGTCAGTATTAGTAGTCAGTAGTAGTAGTAGTAGTAGTAGTAGTCAGTAGTAGTGGTAGTCAGTAGTAGTAGTAGTAGTAGTAGTCAGTAGTAGTAGTAGTCAGTAGTAGTCAGTAGTTGTAGTAGTCAGTAGTAGTAGTAGTTTGAGAAGTACATTCTACTGTACCATAGTAATATATTTCTGTGAAACTTTTAATTTACCGAGTTGAGCTAAAGACATGTGAGTTTCTGTGTGTATCTGATGATAGTTTTAATGAAATGTAATCCAGGTCCAGGGCTTTCAGGAAAACTGCAGATTGGCTTTTGACTACAACATGCCCAGTGCATTATGGGTGTTAAAGTTGTCCTACCTATTTGGCAACAGGAAAGAAAAGGTTGCACAGATTTCATTTTTTATTCAATTTTTTTGCCTTTTTGCTGCAAAGTTTTATTGAAAGCCCATATTGCCAGCTGTGAATTACTTTTAAGTGTACAGCCCTACTTTTAATTTATTAATCCCCAAATTTGCCAAATTCCATGACATTCCGCATTAGACTGTAAACTCCTTTTTTTTCTGACTGGATTCCGCAATTCCGTCTGTTTAAAGCTCTACGTACTAAACACATTAGAATGCTGTAACTTCACCATAGTTGTACCTATTATCTTTCTCTCTCACACACACACACACACACAGAGTGAAGAGGTCGACGTACCTGCGGCTACAGCTGTTGGCTAAAGAGGAGTTCCAGCTGAGTTCACTAATGGAGGAATCGCTACTGCAGGACCAGCTGGCGCCCATTCTCATCCAGCCCCACCTGGAGGCCATGGACCGTCGCTTGCGCCTGGTGCTCAAGGTGCTGGCCGACTGCGTGGAGAAAGAAGGCTTCTCATCAGTGGTGGAGAACGACCTGAACGGACAGCCCTCTTCGCACCACCACCAGGCGCACGGAGGGAGGTAGTGAGGCCTGAACCTCGATCCCTGTCAGTCAGTTCCCCACCATGAGCCCCACCGAGGCTTGTGCTCGAGTCACACCCTGAATTCAGTGAATTCCACGACTAGCCACCAATGCCTCTGAGGAGCCAAACTATCCTGTGTGTAGATGCGTGACGCGGATGTACAGAGACACAGCTATCAGAGGAACGCCGGGATGAAAAAGATATTTGGTTTCTGGATGGCCAAGGCTGTTGCTCGGAGCTGAAGTGCATACTTTTCTGCTGCATCCTGATTTGTTTGACGAGTCTGCTTCTATAATTTAATACGTTTTGAGTTGCAGAGTGTACGGAAGACTTTACAGAAGGGACCAAAGCTGGAACAGAGATTTATATATTCAAGTACACAACTGTTATTTACTTTGCTCATTTAGGTCTTTGACATAAGGGCACGTAAACGAGCTTTAATGACGGTGCTGCAGTGCAGTACTACTGTGCAAGGACACTTAGACACATCCTCCTCTGTGCGTTCACAATTACACATCATTTCCTGCCATCTGATCTAAGCCATCGTTTAAATCTCACACCGTGCCATCAAGCCTTCAGTCATTCGGCGCATTATTTAGGGGAATTCAGAGGTGAAGTGCACGCTTCATTTAAGGTTATTCAGCGGTGAAGCACGTGTTTAAACATCTCCATGGAGAAAGAGAGAATGCCGCTGATTGGTTGTTCAGGTGCCCTATTCCCGCAGTCAGTGTTTCCCATCTCAGGCCCCATGCTCTCTCTTAATCAGACCTTAAGGACGAGCTGATGCTATGCTAGCGGAAGTTCATAATGTTGTTAGTTGTACTTCACGCTGCACCTATCTTGTGTCTCATCTGGCAGAGCGATTTCAGCGGTTGATTATAGAGTAGGGCACAAGCTTGAGGGAATGAAACAAACCAATCGAACATGTAGGGGAACTGACACTGTGTCCTCACTATAGGCCTGTTTACACCTGGTATCAAGATGCGTTTTGGTCAATCGGATCACAAGTAGACGAGGGAGACCTGTTTACACCTGGTGTTTTAATCCGTCTCCTTTGAAGGGAGGATCTATGGGCAAGGCTTTTTCTGATCTTTCGTTCTAATATTGCGAAATATGCTCGCGCAATTTAGATAAGAACATGAAAGGAGAGCAGGGAAAGCAATACAGAGAGCAGAAGCTTTCGTTTCTGCTCCGATAGCCTCAAAAATATGCCGAACGCTGGGGGATTGTGTCAGAATCAGGACTGGTAAGACAACATTGTGCTTGTTACATTTTTTCACCTTCAAATAAAGCTTGTGATTTCAGACGGCAAAGTTTTAATCCCATCTGGCTGTAATGTAATTTACGTTTGCGTAAAGTTTACGCATTAGGTCAGTATGCGGAGAGTAGGCGGTCTGTTCGAACACATTCGACTACATGAACGTTTACACTACGAAAGCAATCTGGTCCAATGCGTTTTGGACTACCCTTGGAAGTGGTCGAAAGTGGACAAGCTCAAAACGTTTTAGATCCTTGTTTTTACTGTCGGCCACTTGTGATCGGATCGACGAAAACAAATGTTAATACCAGGTGTAAAAAGTTTTTGTCCTAACCAGTTGAGAACACGACAAGTGACAAGACATTTTGGTTGGTTTGTTTTTCTTTTGAGTCTGTTTCTTTTAGCGAACTAGCACTGGGTCCTAAATCCTGCTCCACATGACTGTGTATTATGCGCTCCTCCATTCATATTTAAATGTAGGTTATTCATATTTGATATCTCTGATCTCTGATTCTCCTGTTAGTTTTGCAGGTGTTGCATTGTCTATAAAGATGTGTCCTAGAAGCAAAATTGGGGAGGTGACATGATGGTGCGCAGTGCAAGCATTTGCTGTTCTGCGATTGTTGACAGAGATGATCAATCATCGTGTTTTACATAGTGTTTCCTGAGAACCTGACTCGTTAATGCATTTTAGTAACTTATAATTGAATGTTTAGCATTAACTGTGTGCATCTCCCTGTGTGCCACCATGCGTGTGTGTTCATACACCCATATCTATCTGCACAAAGTTAGAAGAGCTATTGCACTTTTCCAAGTAAGACATTGGAATATTCGACTTTGCAGGTTAAAGGGAATTCATAAATGTTCTGGGGTCGGATTCACAAAAATGTTTTTAAGAAAGAAGGAGTTTCTTAACCTCCTTCCCCGTCAGCATTTACTAAAAAAGTAGCCAGCCAACACATTTCAAACAAAAAGCTGAGAAAAGGGCATTTTTACATAGTTTATGTAGATGCTCTTCTTCGCTTGTTTTGAGATCCGGAGATGCTGTACTATTTGAGAGGATCCATAACGGCGCACCCTACCTCATAACAGTGAGAACATGGATTGCCGGAAAAACTCATCAATGGCAGGGAAAGACTTCTAAGACGTTTGTAAGAATGTTTCTAAGTGCAATTCTTAAAAAATTCCTAAGAAGTTCTCTCTTTTTTTCTTTTCCTTAAGAAAACCACAGGCTTTGGTGTTATCTGATTGTTTACCGGTTATTACCGAAGATTTGCCGACTGGCTTGGCGGGGGTTTAGCACTCTGCGTTACAATTTTTAATGTGCCGTGTATTTTAAAAAGAGACTTTCTCAAGATAGAGCCGTCTGCCTCATTCATTTGTACTCTCTCTAGAGTGAACAGCATTGACTGAATTTTCGTGTTTTCACTGTTATACGGTAGGGGGCGCTATTACACATCTTCTGAAAAAGTACTGAATCTCCTGATCAAAACACAGGTGAAGCAGCTGAAACAAGCGATATCATATGTAAGCAGATGCATATGTAAAATAATGCAATCATCAACATTAAACAGCATATCAATCAAAACTTCTGTTGCTGCTGATGTTACCGAATTAATGAAATGTCGACCCAGGACAAGGTATAGGACTGTGAAGCTTTTGGGGTGTTGATGGACTCGATCTACTCCATCTGTGTTTTGGTCATCGTTCTGAATCCAATCTGGATGTAGTCTTTGACAAAAACGTGATTTTTCTCGCAGCTTTTTGCTCAAAAGGTTACTTTTTTCTTACCCACATTCAATTGTTGATTTAAAAAAAAAAACAGAATACATGAATACATATATTTGTTTTAAAGCAGAGGCTCTGTTCTTTCTTTCGATACCTTGCATGGTCAGTTATTTATACAACAAAATATTCTGGGGGGCCATAACTTTTTGTGAAGATTATCAAAGACTGTATGTTGGCGTTGGCTGGCAACTTTTTTCAAAAACGCTGGCGGGGAAAGAGTTAACTTTAAGAGGTTATTTACAATGATTTATAAGACGAGTTTTATATTTAGACATTCAGATTCTTCAAGTTTTCTCTAGAACAATCTTAAGAAAAACGAAGAACACTCTTAAACAGGCTCTATGTAGAGTTCAGAAACTCTTGTTATGAGCGACACCGGTGGCCGTTAAGTGAACTGCAGCAACTTATTGTTCACGTAACGTACAAGAGACTGGACGTTATTAAAGGCCCGATATTCTCACGGCGAAATTATTTTTCAATTTCACGTGTCATTGAACGGTAGAGAGGCCCTCGGGAGCATGTAAACGTCACATCCTTTGGATTTTCCCGGGGTAAAACGACCCGAGTCCCAAGGCTTTCGTAGACAACGCAGGAAGTCAGGGAAGGTCTCTTTTTTTTACATCTCGTTACAAGCTGTTCACACAGTGGCAATAAGAAAGCGATTAAAACATGAAAATTCTTACATATAGCCCCTTTAAGAAGCGTTTATGGGAGTACTGTGAAGAAGACTAGAAGAATTGAAGAATGTTTTGTGAATCTGGCCCCTGAATAGCAAATTACTTGCTGCTTGAAAGTGGTTAGCACGTGGTGTAATGGTGATAGATCATTTTTATTTTTCAGCATTAGTCACATATTTTCAGCAGAAAAGTTACTATTGCATTGCTCTGTATAAAACAAGTTTTCAGTGCTCACTTATTTTGTATTGTGTAAACTACAGCCACAAAGGCAATAGAGTGCCTTGAATCTTTCTAGCAGTGGTAATCGCCACTTCCGGTCTCATTCGTTCACTCATATTCATGGCATAACATTGTAGGCTAAAGACATTTTAGTTAGTCTCTAAATGAAACCTTTTTAGTCAGTCATGTGTGTCGTATGTTAAAAGCTCACATTGCTATTTATTAAGAGAGAGTGCATTTGTGAGGAAATCTTGTGGGGTTTTTAGGTCATATTTTGCATTTGAGATTATGTTCGTGCTTTAAATGATGTTTCTGACAGACATTATAAAGATGATTTGATAATCTGACAATACGGCTGAATCTTTTAAGAGGGGCCACGTGTGTTCTGTGTTTAACCCCAGTGCCTGTGCAATGCTCAAGAAACTTGAATGTTTTGGGATTATTCACAAACTGACCTTTTAATGGGCCATGGCCTGGTCTCAGAGGTGTTTTTTTTTCTTTTCTTTTCTTGTGGGAAGTGAGGAATTACGGGATGGCCAAGGCTTCTAGTAGCCAAACAGAATCAAAAACGTTCCCAATACTCTCAGTGTTTTCTGTAAATATCTGTACGATAAATACGATACGTTGATCCAAGAGGCTTTTTTTGGAGCAAAAAAAAAAAATGCTTCAGTTTTCTTTTCATCTCTTAAGCATTGTTACTGTGAAGATCTGTTTGCAAAATGATAAAAGTGTGCAATAAATCAAGCTATGTTGTTGAACTCTTTTATGTGTAAAGCGTAAAGCAAATACAGGTTGTGAAAGATCAAAAACTTTAATAAATGTTCCGGGTTCAATACAGGTTAAGCCACGTCACATGCTGTGATTTATCAATCTCCTATTGGTCACACATCTTCTCGTGATGCGAATTCACAGGTCAGAGTTCACCCAATTAGAACTTTGGAATGCAGAGAAATTTGCATGTGCTTGCGGGTTCCGGTCATTCGTATAAATGGAAGATATATATATTAGTCAATGGAACGAAAAGTGTAGTGTGACTGTCCCTTTAAAGGGCAAGACAGCATGAAGGTATTAAAAGCAGACGTGGAGTATGAATATTTTGGTTGAAGTGCATCTATTATTCTGTAATTATTTCTTAAAATTATATTTTTTAAACTGTACTTGCAGATAATATAATGCTAGTAAAATAAAAGGCCACTTAAGTGCACTTAAAGAGAGCACACTTTCATGATTGTTTCTTAACACACTTAAGTAGACTTTTAAAAAGTGCACTTTATAATGTCAAATTAAAAGTTTTACTTTAAAGAAGTGCACTTATTTTGATGTGTTGACTAACATACTTGTAAAGTACTTGATTATAATTTTAACCGTGTGTTACTACATTTCAAGTTAATATACTGTAAATTTATTAAATTGCAACTTCATCATTGCAAATGTGTTATTACAAATGGATTTAAATACATGTTTCAGTAGAAATTACATTAAAATTTAATTTACTATAAATGCTTGTCAGTACATTCAGCAGTAACTTTAACCATATTTCAATCAAAGACAATAGAAGTAATTAAATTACATATAAAGATGTACTTAAGTCGGTCAAAAAGCACTCAACTCATTGCATTTAATATAAATTTAACCTAAAGTGCATTTTCATTTAATTGTAAACAACAGTTAAGTGTCTGAAATTATTATTTTTTTAATTCAGTTCACACTTATATTCTTTTGAAAGTATATTATTTCTGTAATTAGTACTCTTTTTAAAAGTATAAGTGTACTTCTTTTTCACAAAGGGTTAAATACAAAACTATTTGGACTT